TGAAACGTTGACTGATAGTTTTATGGACGAAATTAAAGGTTTAGGACCGACGCTGCAACTACATATAAAGGTTTGGGACTTCGGCTGCAAAAATGAAAGGTTTGGGACCACAGCCGCAATTTTTCCTATTTATTTTAGTGACAAATAACATGCTATAAAAATAATTTATCGATTCAATTATTATAACAAATCGGATCGGATTGTTATCTGATCAGATAGTTATCGATGATGAGAATGTGATGATTGTGAAAAGATTGAAGGATTTGAAAAAAACAAATATTTTTTTTGATAACTNTGAAATGGACCAACGCTATAATTATATATAAAGGTTTGGGACTTCGGCCGCAAAAATTAAAGGTTGGGTGTAATCTGCAACAAAATGAAAGGTTTGAGACCAGAGCTGCAAATTTTTCTAGTCAAAATTACTGTTAAAACGTTGACTGACTGCTTTATGGACGGAATTAAAGGGTTGGGACCGAAACTGCAACTACATATAAAGGTTTGGGACTTTGACCGCAAAAATAAAAGGTTTGGGTGTAATCCGCAATGAAATGAAAGGTTTGGGACCACGGCCACAATTTTCCCACTAAAGGTGTGTATAAATGTTATCTTAAAGTTAAACTCAAAATTAAAGTGATCCAATAAATAATTAAGTAATTGAGTTTTGAGCATCTAAATAGAGTGTAAGCCTTATTGTATTTGTAGAGACCGGGTTCATTAGTGTTGTATTTGATGATGAGCCAAATACATATGAAAATATAAATATTGTTATAGTCTCCAATTCATATGTAATTTCTCATTCTTTGTGACATCCTATCAATATAAGAATACAAAGAGAAAGCATATTGAAGGGAAAGATCTAAAACCCGCATAAAGGAATTCAAAAATAAAGAAGAATGATTGAGGCAATCAAATTGAAGAACAAGACAATCAAGACTAAAGAAAAAGAAATCAAGATTTAAAGGTACTGCAATTTCAAGCTTCGAGATTCAATATTCAATATACAAATCAATGGATCAAAGTATGTTCAACATTAATTAATTTTCTTGGTGATTTGATTTGGAGATCTTGGCAATTCGTGAATGTTTTATAAAGTTTAAGTTTCATAAAATTCAACACTCAGGTCTCAAGGAAGAAGTTGAAAACGTAGTTGCTAATCTCTTATCAATATACAAAAGATTGGATTCCACAATCCTTAAGGCAACTAGCACCTGCTACCTCAGATAATTCTCTAATTATTTTCCAATCACCCCTAACATCGTCGACTATGGAGACTGCTAGTACAATTATACGAACACATCCTTCTGTATTTACTATCCCATCTTTCTCAAAGAAAGCCAAGGAGGGGAAAATCACATTGGCACAATACACACTCCAATTACCATGGTGACCTTGGTAAATGACAAAGGCGTTATTAGGGACTTTCTCCAAGTCCAAATCATCAGCATCCATCAAATAGACTTTTAGCAGATTCAATGTGATTGTCAAATTCTGATACATGTCTTGTCAAGAGCTACAGCTTGGGAAGCATTAAGTAGCATAACATTATGTCTGTTCCAATCAGGTTTAACAACAATTGCATTTTTGGCAAGGCCTCAATAGTTGAGAAAATTGCATACTTGTTCTATCGCACAAAGATCCCAGTTCCAAATAATGAACACAATCACAGACTCTATATTTGCATCCAACAAAAAATACAGTGTCACATTATATGTCGAAGTAATATAGAGATGTAACATTAACACTGGATAACAAATAAATCTTTATTCGGGTAAGTTAAAAAATGGTGTTCATGTCTTAATAAATTGATTGATCCATACTGATTTTGATTTTAAAAGCTAGGCAATACCTTTGAATTTCATTCCAACAATTGTTTTGTTGCATTGGCTCTCACAACACAAATTACATGCATATGCATGCAAGGTAGACTACTATTTCATATACAGAATTCCAGTAGCAGAAATTTTCCTAAAAAAATTCATTGTTCCTGTGAAATATCTACAGCCAACACAAATATTCAGTAAGAATCAAATATCATGGTGTTTAGAGTTATTTACACTCCATAATTATTTGTTGGTTGAATCAGCAAAATAAATGGTATGCATATGCAGTCTAAGTATTTTGCAATTTCATTCTCATTTTTCAATCACAAATTTCACGATACATGGACCATTCAAGAACAAATTAGGAATCAAATATCTACCGTGAATATAACCTAATTAATGGAATTACCCTTTCTGATAGAAGAATCTATCTCAAAAAACAGTTGCAGAAGTAGCTCTTCATAGCTTACGTCGTAAGAAAATCCCTAATCTGTTTAGTCTATTCACGGTTTCATACATCCATAGCCCATGATCATATTTTTGAATTTAAGACTGCTAATTAATGTTATGAGTTCATCTTTTCCAAAATTTTAGCTACAAATGAGATAAACGGAGAAAGTTTGGGGGTTATTAAATTTAGTGATATTTGGGGGAATATGTAGTATATTTTGTAATTAAATTTTTTTGGGTATTTTCTTGAATGTTTTATACTTCATATGCATATATGATTTTTTTTTAATTCCCTTTCTTTTATGCCATGATTGAAACAATAGAGTCCATATGTAATTTCTGGGAAAGAAGAATATAAACAACTTCGTTGTTTCAAACTTTCTAAAGAACCTTATTGCCAATATAATTGTTGGGAAAATGGCTTAGTGGCACACTTTTGGCATAATTTTGAGTGGGATCCGTTCGTTCATTTTGAAAGATCAAAATTGATTTATGTTCTCCTCCGTGAGAACATTGAAATAATATATTTATTTTTTAATAATCATAATTAGGTGAATAAAAAATTGGAGTTCAAAATGGACAATTTTGAAGGAGTTTATGTATTGGAGGGAAAATAATTAAATTTGTTTCACATAGGAAAATGATCAAAGCAAAGACTAGTTTATATATGGCTACACTTTAGAAATATGTAATTATGTACATTATAAAGTCTCTCTCCACATAGGTGCGTGGAGGTGCAAATCAAGGACCAAATTAGACCTTGGACTTTAAACTTTTATGCAAGAGTGACCTTCATACGAATGTCGGATCGACCAAAATTGACCCCTTAGGGAGTCTATATTTTGTCTTTAATTTCTAAATAAATTTAATATGTTTCTCCAAATAACCTTCTAAATTCCCTAACTCATGAAACTCATATGGTTTATGTATTGTTGACCTATGGTTGATTAT